TTTCCTCTATTTCATTTGACTTTGGAAGATCTTCTTACCCAATAGGTTTGGAGAGTAAGAACAATCTACCTGACATAAAAAACTTGAATTACTCTGTGCATTAACCAAGTATTGCACTGCAGTACACAAGTATTTGTTAATGAATAGGAGAATAACAAAAGGAATTTTAAACAGGGTTGCTGTAAAAAACTTTAAAGAAAAAAATAGGAATATCTTAACATCCCATTTTGATACCTGGTGACACCATCCCTCTTCATTTTCCTCCTACTCTTTTCCTGAAAGCTCCCCCGTAGCTCTTCATACTTGTAAGCACCTCACCCACCTGTGATGAGGGCTTCCCCACATACCTCATTGACCTCATTTATTTCTTGCCACTGCGTTAGCAACAGCTGTAGTGCAGGACTGTGGCCGTATTTTGCAGCGAGGTGCAGGGCAGTATTTCCTTCCTGCAACAGAGACACACTGGAGGCTGGAGCCCCTGTTCTGAGGCACACACCCTTCCCACAAGGAGGGTTGAAGTGAGGCTGGGGTCCCTAGTGTGAGTTACATCATCCACAGTGTTAAGTGAAACGTAAAAAGAGCACAGTGAAAAGGCATGGAGGTCTCTAAACCCATAGACATCATCAGTCCATGACTCTTGTTCTCCCTTTGCTGCCAATTTGCTTGCCAGAAAAGGGGCGTGGGGGGGGCAATAAAAGTCATCTATTGAACTTGCGTGCCGGGAATCAGTTTCAGGGAGGTAGTTTTGGCATTCTATATAAAAAGACGTGAAAAATATGCAAGACCCTTTGACCCACAATTTCATTACGAGGAATTTATCTTAAGAAAATAATCACAGATGTGTTCACATAGATATGGGTTCACTCTAGGGTATTCGCTCCTCAGCCAGTGGGGCGGAGGCTCCAGCAGACCTCAGGGAAAGGGTGGGAGGGCTGGAACTGATCATGGGAAAATCCTGTAGCCTACTGACTTCACAAATATTTACGGAGCTAAAACAGCCCGTCTGGGCCGTTAAGCCACTGCAAATGTGGCTTAAGTTCACCTGGATAGCCCAGGTTGCTCTCTGACTACAGGAATCATTTAACAACTCTAGTGCTGTCCAAAATGTGATCACTAAATCAATGCACCAGCCGGGGCTCCCCTCTCTCTTGGTCTCATCCAAGAAACAAAAATCCAACTCACCTTGTCCTTTTCTGAGGTGTGCGATGAAGGGAGAGAAGCGTTTCAATCATTTCCACCTGGCCCTTCTCAGCTGCCAAAAGAAATGGCTTCCTTCCTTTCTGAAAATCGATCAGAAACTTCTGGCAGTCATTACATACTTCCTGAATAAGCCACATGAGTCGACAAGGCTGGCAGCATTTTAAGCCCACATTCTGGCTACTGCTGAAACCTCCCCCGGGTTCAAGGTGACTGATGAGGTTCCTCTGGGCATTGAAATCTGAGAAAGGACAATGACAATCTCTTTTCACCTTCTGGCCTCTCAACCACATCCAGTTTGGGGCTATCACGCCAAACTGTGGTGAATACCAGGTGGGCATGGAGTCTGTCTCATAGGTATTGAGAAGAACTCTCCAGAAAAAGGCCCTTCCAAGCACAAAGAGAGTTCCAATATCACAGCCAGACAGTGAGATTCCCTTTCAAATGCAGAAAGGCTGTGAACTATACTGATTCAATAGTTACTCCGCTCTACTCTTTCCTGAGAAGTTATTATGTTCCAGATCTGTCTTAGGCCACTGTGCATCACAACAAGGCTTGCCTTCGCCATGAGAACTTTGGAACGAACATTCTCAAGGATTTAAGAGATATGTGGCTCATTCAGACAAGGCATTTTTGTCAGCTGTTTCATTTTAGGTTTTCTGTGCTCATAAATTTCTCTCCAGCATCCACTAAGCGTCAACAGCAAAACTCTAGAGAATTGGGTCTACTGAGAAGAGAAAGGAGAAAGAAAGTGCCGTCCAGAAAGCACAGCCTTAGAGGAAGTGTTTTAGTGTCATTGATTAGAAGCTTGAACACAGAATGTTCTCATTATAGTAATTTTATCTTTTCCTTTAATTAGTGGAGACTGCATTTTCTTTTTTAGGGGGGTTTCTTATTTCTTTTTTTTTTTATCGTTTTATTAGGGACTCATACAACTCTTATCACAATCCATACATACATCAATTGTGTTAAGCGCATTTGTACATTCATTGCCCTCATCATTCTCAAAACATTTTCTCTCCACTTAAACCCCCGGCATTAGGTCTTCATTTTTCCCCTCCCTCCCCACTTCCCCCTCCCTCATGAGCCCTTGATAGTTTATAAATTGTTATTTTGTCATATCTTGCCCTGTCCGACATCTCCCTTCACCCACTTTTCTGTTGTCCGTCCCCCAGGGAGGAGATGACATATACTTCCTTGTAATCGGTTCCCTCTTTCCTACCTACTCTCCCTCTACCCTCCCAGTATCACCACTCACACCACCAGTCCTGTAGGGATCATCCGCCCTGGATTCCCTGGATTTTCAGAGACTGCATTGTCAATAGCCAAAATGTCATCAAGATAAGACCCATAAAACACTTAATCGTTTCTCTCAGTCTTCCCAAAGTGGGGGATACTGCCCCCCTAGGGGCTCTCGGACAATCTAGGCGGCTGTAAAAGCAGATACCTACACTTTATCCTGAATTATGGGCTAGAGTACAAACGTTTTTAATTGTTAGGGGTGAGGGGGGTGCTGAGTATTTTTTTCCTGAAAAGGGGTTTGAGGCCAAATAAGTTTGGGAATTTGGGGTCTCAGATTTTTCAGAGAATGAAAAGAAGACAAGTGGAAAAATGTTGGCTTCAATTTTTTTAATTAAAGAGAAGAAAACACTCCCAAATTGGCTTAGCACATTGTAAGTAACAAGATGTCTCAAAGCTGAGAGAGAAAGGCCTCTTCAAAAGAAGGTTCCTAAAGCTGAACTTTACCATCTGAACCTCCACTAATGCAAAGTAATCAAAAGGTCATGGTCACGGTTACTTGAGAGAATGGTTCACTATTCCTCCATAGCAACCACTGGAGAACAAAAGAAGGAAACACTTTGAAATAATAAATATCACACACACACACATGTTGACAGGGACCGGTTCTATGGGGTTTTGCCCTCATATGCATCTAGGAGAGATGGAGAAACAAATCGACATTAAAAAAAACTCACCTAGTTTGTCACCTTTAGCCAGAGAGGTGGCCAATGTGGCATAATCCTCAGTCCACCAAAGTTTGAAAGCTTGATTCTCTTCAATGCCATTAAATCTCTAAGAATAATGGGGCCAACGTTCAAAAACAACAATCTTCACAAATAGGCCAATAGGTCACATCCCGATAAATGAAGAAAAGATTGAAGTTGTCAAAGCTTTTGTCTCGCTTGGATCCACCACCAATGCTCATGGAAGCAGCAGGAAGAGAGCGCTGCACGGGGTCAATCTGCTGCACAGGGCCTCTTTGCAGTGCTGAAAAGTAAGGATGTTGCTTCCATGACTATGGTGTGCCTGACCCAAGCCATGAGCCATTGCCTCATATGCATGTGAAAGTTCGATATTGAATAAGGAAGATCAAAGGACAATCGATGCATTTGACCTATAGTGCTGGCAAGGAATACTGAAAGATATATGAAAGTACCCCAGACTGCCAAAAGCACAAACAAATCAGTCTTGGCAGATGTACAGCTAGAGTGCTCCTGAGAGGCAAAGATGACAAGACTCTGTCTCACATACTCTGGACATGTCAGGAGAGGCCCTTCCTGAAGAAGGCCTCATCTTTGGTAGAGGAGAGGAGAGGGACCGTGACAAAGCGGAAGGCCCTCGATGGGATGGGTTGACACAGCAACAATGGGCTGGAAGGTAAGAACAAAGGTGAGGCTGGCACAGGACGGGCAGTATTTTGTTCTGTGGCACCTAGGGACACTATGAGTCAGAAGTGACTCATTGGCACCTACATGGCTTCCAGTGTCACAGCCACACACAAGCCACCACAGCACGACACACTGACAGGCAAATGTGGAGGGGAGACAGGCATAAGAGGGAGTAATTCTAATGGTACAGTAGTGACTGTGCTATCATTTAGGGATTAAGGTAGATTGTCAAGGAAGTGGCTGGATGCAGTGACTGCAGCAGTGAACTCCATCATAACACTGATAACTGTGAACAGTGAACTCCACCTTAACACTGATAACTGTGAACAGTGAACTCCATCATAACACTGATAACTGTGAACAGTGAACTCCACCTTAACAATGATAACTGTAAACAGTGAACTCCATCATAACACTGATAACTGTGAACAGTGAACTCAACCATAACACTGATAACTGTGAACAGTGAACTCCACCTTAACACTGATAACTGTGAACAGTGAACTCCATAACACTGATAACTGTGAACAGTGAACTCCATCTTAACACTGAGAACTGTGAACAGTGAACTCCACCTTAACACTGAGAACTGTGAACAGTGAACTCCACCTTAACACTGAGAACTGTGAACAGTGAACTCCACCTTTTACTGGCAGAACTTCCTTGAAGAAAGAGTCAGATCTTGTGGAATTATGAGTGTGACTGTATTGCCAACCAGAGTATGGATGAACTAACCATCCAGACACAATTACCCCAGGCCACGCTCGGCCCAGGCACCTCAGACGAGGTAGGGCACAAACCACAGCTGATTAGCATCCTCTCTGCTCTTCATGCCACAATGCATGCCGCCACTCAGGAGCTATTCTCTTGGGTCACTGTGGTACTTACGTAATCTGGTGTCAATTTGAGGATTCAGAGTGAAGGAGTGGAGTCTAGCCTGTCAATCAAGTCATAGCTTGATGACCCCATTTGGAGGCACTAGGAGATAAATAGCTCGCTGGAGGCTGGACACACGCTTACTCCTGGAGAACGCTCTACTAACAAGGCACATGGAATTACTTGATAGACTCCGTCCTGGGAACTGGGGAAGCCACGTGGAGACCCCTGCAAGTGCTGAGATGCTTACAACGCCACTGGATCCATGACTTCACACCCACTGGCCTGTGATCTTCCTGTTTTCGGCATCATTACATGTGTTTCGTGAGTCTGAAGAGGACTTTATAGATTAGTATCAGACTTATGGAGTAGAATTGGGCTTATGGACTTGATCTGGACTGGGCTGGGATGTTTTCTTAATGCACAATTACTCATATATATAAAGCTCTTTTTAATTCTCATGAATTTCTCTAGTCTACCCAGAATAACACAGCCCCCACCCAAAGGGACAACTCAGTGGCAAGGTGACAAGATCTACATTGTGAGGGTGTGGGAACCACCCCAGCATAGGTGTCTCCTTCAGGGGACATGGCCAGTTACCAGAGTCACTGCACTCAGGTAACCTTAAAGTATGGCTTCGCTGCTGGTGTCACTAATTCTTCTGCCATTCTTCCCCGCTTCAATGCAATTTCCAAGTCAAGGGTCCTAGCCATCATAAGCCATGCTGCTTAGTAACGTGGCCAATGCTCTATTTCTATCTGGTTTGCAGCAACATTGAGCCAGAAAGTTAACCAAAGTGTAAATTCTCAAGTAGCTGGAAAAGAGGTGTTGATAACTCTTTATTCACAGAGATTATAAATAGTACCTGCGGAGGCGGCACCTCATCAGGGACATTTGTTGCCTTTGTGTCCCTGTACACCTTTCTTTTAGTAATGGTGCTTCGACTGTCCTCAGGAGAACCCACCCTCCTGCCATTTAGGCCAACTGCCAGCCCTTATGTTCTGCTACAGGAAGTCATAGCATAACCCATGGCAAACTCACTGCCGTCAAGTCCAACCTGACACACAGCCACCCTACAGGGCAGGGTAGAACGGCCCCTCTGGGTTTCTGAGACTGTTCATGGGAGTAAAAGCCTGGTCACTCCCCCACGGACGGGCTGGTGGTTCCAAACAGCTGGCCTTGTGGTTGCTAGCCCAATGTGTCATTCTTACGCCACTAGCACAGCACACGGGTCCCAGTGATCGGTTCAGGAGTGGGCATATGATTCAAGAAGGAAGAAACAGAGTCATTCGTGAGACTGATACACTAATATTTGTCACAAGAGAAATGTTCTTTCTGATGGATCAGTATCCCCACCGATGTCACCTTGAGGCTATCCCAGCCATCTTTCCCGCCACGAGGGGAGTGGCCCCATGGGCAATGCCAACGCAGAAAGCCCAGGGTGGGTGGAAAACAAAGAGCCAAATCAAGCCGGGCCTGAAGCTAGTGCCTCTGTAAACGCTTTAATTAAGAAACCAAAATAAATGCCTGTGAGCCCA